TCTTAAAAATTAGAACATCACATAATTGCTGATATATATATATATATATATATATATATAGAGAGAGAGAGAGAGAGTCTACCTAGAATTTCATAAGTATTATTTCCTGTGAAAATTTTTTTTGCTGATGTTACTGCTCCTACTGTCTTCCACAGCTGACCACTTACAAGGTATTTGGTTTTATAAAAACTCACAGTTAATGATATAAATGTTTGAATTTAAAATCATGAAAAGAAGGAATTGAATCTTCTCATATTGAAGTAAACTTTAAGTGAAGAAATACTTTAGCTGTAATATCTTATAGAATATTTACCAACTAATTTACAAGAAAAGGCTTTGTTTTGACTGTATGTTTAAAATTGATGTACTGTACCATTTTATTTGAGTTTAGGACACTTATGGTTATTGTAGATTGGTATATGTAGAATGGATTAAGAAAATGTTTGATGTGCATTTTGGTCATGGAAACCAAAATAAACCTACGAAACATGGGACCTTAGCCAAAGTCAATATCCATGACCAGAAGGTGCATGATAAAGAAGTTAGTGTATACTAGAGTACATTTGAATGTTACAAAGCAATATATGCTGTTTTTGAGTTCATAACATGTGTATTTATGCTAATGTAAGCCAAAAAAATTATCAAAATATATGGAAGACTTTATGATCTATTGAGGTTTAATAATAGAGAAAGTTTTGTATAAGTTACATTGTATGGCTTTTAATTTTCCAAAAGTAAAGAAGAGCATAATAGTTAATGAAGCACAAATCAAAATTAAAAATTACATGCAACTTAATATATTGCAAAAAAATGAATGTGATATGTCGAGACACAGTAAACAAGTATGCTTCTGAGCTGTAAAAAAAAATATTTTTCTTCTAGTGTTTTTAAAATATGTTATTTTGTAAGGATTTTTTCTAAATTTCAGACTTACAATATATTTAATATTGTAATATCAGATTTTGGATGATGTTTTTATAGGATCTAGAAGTAAAACCAAAAGTAAGAGATTATTTGGAAGAATTTCTTACACAAAATAATTACCATGGCTTGGTGATATTGGCTGTTTCCTTTGATAATAAAACAGGGAAGGTCCAAAGACAAACAGCTGTGTATTCAACAAATCCAGTGATTAAAGAACAGGTAAGAAAAATATTCATTATGGATTATTATTGTTCTCCTGATTTTACTGTACATATAGATGCAAATGCTGTGTTTTTTTTTTATTTAAACACTAAAGAAAATGGTGTACAAGCTTGAAATTGCATGAAAAATATTTTCATTATAAAAGCATTTATGTTAAAAGTTATAATAAAACAATATCCAAATGTTTTGCTTGAAGTGATGTTTTATTGTTTGCTTTGGAATAGGTTTTACCCATTGTGTTTTGCTTGGTGTAACATGTTGTGGAATAGGTTTAACCTGTTTAGGATTAACCTCGAAGTCATTGATATGCTCTGCGCAACCATCAGATTCATTGAGAGCTCTACATGCCTAACCTCATATGTGATATAACTGTTTTAGATAATTTAAATATACAACACTGCCTAAACTTTGTGCATTTAAACACAAAATACCACAACCAAAAAAAAATGTTTTTCCCAAGTTTTTTTTTTTAATTATTATTTAGCATTACTCTCACTGGCAGCTAGATTCTAGCTGTTTTTTTATTTTACCTTGGTACTTATTATTTTTAATGGTCACGAGGAAGTTATTTTTTATTTCATTTTGTTTTATTTTTCCCCCTTCTCATTTCACATACATTTCAATGACCACCATTTATCTCCAAGATAGACATACCACAGTTTAAGAAACATTTTTCTACCATATTAGTTTAATGATTTTACCAGTTTTTAACCCTACAATTTCCAGTATAATTTTCAACTATACAAATTCCTTAAAATTGTTTATATTTTAAATTGAAGGCATACCTTTATCAAACACAATACAGTAAGAGACTAATTTCAATGAAAAAGTGTTTCAAATAATCGTGTGCAAATTATTAAAACCAAGGCTTCATAGTACATCTGGATATACTGTGGTGTGTGATAGTGTCCTTGTGAACCATGGAACAAACTATAAAACTATTAGAAGTTAATGTGTTTTGATTAAGAGGACGACCCGAGACAGGCTAGACTAGGAAATCCGTATTAACTAGACAGAATAAGAATTCCGTGTCCTAACATGTGTAAGAAACCCACATTTTCATGATAACAAAGCCACTATAGGAAACAATCTCATCCAATAAATTAATGATCTAGAAAGTTCTTATTTGTCTCAAAGCAGAGCAGTGTAGAAAACCCTTATTTTAACAATGAGGAGATAGGATGTTTCTATCTTGAAATGGATGTATGTCTTTAATTTTTTTTTTGAAACAGTGAAAAAATATTAAGGATGTTGGCCAATATGAAGAGGTATATTTGGGAAGTTAAAAACATTCTTGTTTGTACTTTTATATTTGGCCCCTATATGGTTTGGCTATTTGTTTGTTTGTTAAATTTCATACAAAGCTACTTGAGGGCTGCCTGCATTAGCTGTCCATAATTTAGGAGCAGTAAACTACAGGGAAGGTAGCTAGTCAGCATCACCAACTGCCAACTCTTGGGCTACTCTTTTTCCAATTCAAAGTGGGATTGACCATCACATTATAAAGCCTTCATGGCTGAAAGGGTGAGCATGTTTGGTGATGGGATTCAAACCTGTGACCTGCAGATTGGGAGTCAAATGCCCTAACTGCCAGGCCATCACTAGATGATAGAAGTAATTTGCATTTATACTCAGTCTCATATTGAGGTCTTCCATACCCACATTTTCACTGATTGTGTTGCTGTTGGTTAGCTTATTATGGCCTCTACTCAAAAGCTTGCTGGATTAACATTCAAATATTATTGAATCACAGAGATGATGTACACCTAATTGTTAAAGATATTCTACCCTGTTCAATACTAAATTTTTGTTTATTATATTGCTGTTGAATGGCTAATATAGACATGCTTTTACTTACAATTTTACTGAAATAATGAACCATGGATACATCCTTATTCTGGAATTAAAGAGATAATATATACATGATCAATAAAGATATAAAAAAACAAATGAGAAAAAAGAGGTGTGCTAAATATGTTGTATAGAAGATGAATATGAAAAACTGACATCCTGGACAGTGTTTTAGTATTGCGTATAACCATTTTTTGAACTACGGCGTGTTTTAGTATTGCGTATAACCATTTTTTGAACTACGGCGTGTTTTAGTATTGCGTATAACCATTTTTTGAACTACGGCAAAAGAGATACTTTGTAATTACCATTCTAAAATTGAATGACGTGTGAAATTATTCGCAGCACCAGTAAATTAAAATAATTAGATACTTCCAGGTGCCAATCTAACAATAGATTGAGTAGCCGACCTCAAATTATTAACATTTGCATTTATTAGTGAACACTTTTTGCTGTTTGCTATTATATCAGAAATAATTTATTTTTTAAAGCAAGTTACAGAGGTCAAACAAGCATTCAGTAAAGTTCTCACGTCAAGGAAGTGTGGTACATGCACGAACACATATGGGTTAGAGTTAGCAATGGCTTTAAAAATGCAACACTTTAAAGAACACTCTGATATATTTGTTAAATGATAATATGCCAAATATAATACAATAAAATAGATTTCATCTTCAAACGCATATTTATTTTGTATTTGCTATATTGATTTGCCAACTACTAATATGTAATCATGATAGTTTAAATGAAAAAAATAAGGTTACCTAAGTTTTTACTCAAAACAGGAAAAAATCTTTGGGTTCTGGAGGGAATGACTGGACCTTTTCATGTTGTTACACTTGGCAGGTTACCCATTTCATCAAACTTGGCCACTTTGCTATGTTCCCATCCATGTAATTCCAATTAGTTTTGGGGTCAGCCGGCATTTTTGTGAGCCAAGAATTTTTACACCTAGGTGGCTGGCCCAGTCGGTAACCAGGTAGGATAAGCATGATCAGTGATGGCGATTTGAACTTCTGACCCTCAGATTGCAAGTTGAGTGCCATGTTAAAAACCTATGTCTTTGTAATATCAAAAGTAACTAAAAATCATTTTCTATCCAGAACAAATTAAGTACATGTAACCAGATAAGCTGGGAAACTTGTGTCCTCGTAATATCAAAACAAACTAAACAAATCAAGCTGTATTTAAGATAAGTTAAGTACATGTAACTCTTGTTTCAATAACCAGATAAGCTGGGAAACTTGTGTCCTCGTAATATCAAAACAAACTAAACAAATCATGCTGTATTTAGGATAAGTTAAGTACATGTAACTCTTGTTTCAATAACCAGATAAGCTGGGAAACTTGTGTCCTTGTAATATCAAAACAAACTAAACAAATCATGCTGTATTTAGGATAAGTTAAGTACATATAACTCTTGTTTCAATAACCAGATAAGCTGGGAAACTTGTGTCCTTGTAATATCAAAAGTAACTAAAAATCATTTTCTATCCAGAACAAATTAAGTACATGTAACCAGATAAGCTGGGAAACTTGTGTCCTCGTAATATCAAAACAAACTAAACAAATCATATGTTCATGATAAGTACACCAGCTACCTTTTAACAACTAGAGAAGCTAAGAAACCATTTTTGTTTATTTGTGTAAAAAAATGGTTTAGATCAGGCTATTGCTTAAAAATACTCAAAATATCTGTTTCTTAACACAGTAAAAACGGATTAAGAACAGTTTGCATTATCGTAAGGCTCTGTTGTCAGCTGGAATTGGGCTTCATAAGGATAATATAGGCATTGGGTACACATGAATTATCAGTATTTTCAAAGTTAAAGTGTGATACTTGTGTGCATTATTAAAACACAATTTTTGCTTAATTTTAAAATATGCAAGTTTTCTGCTGACAATAATATCAGTGAAAACAGGTAAAAGTTGCAAACATTTAAATATTAAAGTAGGCTCATAACATGTTTATCTAGACTAAGACATAAGAGTGAAGTTTTTCTCTTCTACTTGTTTTTTGTTGTTGTTGTTGTTTATTTAACTCACATATTTCTCTCTGTAAATCAAACCATTAGAGTATCCAGTCTCTTGAATCAAATGAAATACCAACCATTACTGTTGGTGAAGCAATACTGTGGACATCAAACAAGAACATTTTGTACAACGTCAAGGAAAATGGTGTTGTTGAAAATTAATTAAGAATTGTCACTTATGGTTTTTATTATGAACAGTTTTTATACGTTATGGAGCTCAATTCTGTCATGATTGCTGTTTGGGCTTTTATTAGGGCCAATTTCGTTCACTTTAAGGTGTGGGCATGACCGGCTTAATGGTTAACCTGTTAGACTATGGATCTAAAATGTGCTTCAAACTTTGGAACAATAAGGTGCATTATAAAAGTGATAGTCAAATCCCACTACTCATTTAAAATAGCCCAAAAGTTAGTTCTGGGTTGTCTTCCCCCTAGCCTCAGTTTAAAATTAGGGACAGCTAGCAGAGTTAGCCCTTATGTAGCTTTACACAACTTTCCAAAACAGATGTTGTGCCTTGAACTAAATTTATTTAGTGATACCCTTACTTTGGTAGTCGTTGCTTTGGTATGATATTCCGTTAATACTAAGAATTTGCATATTCTTGAATTATTGTCAGTTATCTGTAGATAAGGAACACCAGAAGACTGTTTTGCTGAAATTGTTGCCCAAAAGCTTAAGTTAAGAATAAATTGTGAAAGAGCAATCCTTGATTTTATGGTTTATATAAAATTAAATATTTATTTTTCTACTAGATAGTGGCCACTTTGCAAGTTGCTGAAGAACCACAATTGGAATTGAAACCTCTAAATGTAAGAGTAGCTGATCTAGTGTGCTTCAGTCAAGGAAATGTATTAGCATCAAGAAAAGTTCTACTCCCACTGGTACAATCTGTTATCCAAGACCCATCTTTCAGTAACCATGTAACCAAAGGTAAAAGAACAACTGAGTATAATTTCACCTTTTCTTTTTCTCACAACCAAAATCTCTAGTGTAATTGGTAAGATTAGGTTATTAATCTTTTAAAGCAAAGTTTATTTCTAATTCATCTCTCTTATATTTTTTTACAGTAAAGACTTGCAACCTTAAAATGATTGAAATAAACTGAATAAACTCAAAATAATAGGGAAACACTAAGTGTTTTTTAACACATTCTTCAGGAGCTAACGGGTATCTTTACACTACAATTTGTTGCATATCAAAAGTAAGTTCAATCCGGAAACTCCCAAAGAGGGTGGTTTTGGACGTATCTCTTCGAGACAACTTCAACCCAAGTTTTTGTTAGTTAAATGATAAATTTTTAAGTTAAATACAGCATCCTCAAGTCTCCATACTAGCTAGTACTAAGGCTACCTGCTGGGAGTAAATTCAATATATATATCAATAAAGCTACATTATCAGCATCATTAATTAGCAATTGCCAACCTTTTATGCTTCTGCTATCACCTTTTTCATGTTTAGCTTTCAGTTGAGATACAAACAATTTCACCTTCAATTTGGTAGGGAAAGTCGAGGCATCACAATAGTCAGCAGTAGTATGAGCAGACAGCAACACTTTGAAAGGGTGCGGAAATTGCCTTCTTTTTAGCTAATAAACACGTCCAAAAAATTTCAGTTCAAATTAAGAAAAATCTGATTGGATAGTTGTTTTTTTCAACAAAAATGTCCCCCACAGGTTCGTGTGGGGCCTGTTAAACATAACTGATTGAACATAAACATACTTTTATATGTATTTTCCTAGTAAATTCCTGTTATCAATCAAAATTATTTGTAAACTTATGATTTTCTGCCTTTATTGTAATACCAGAAACCTTCTTAGTTGAATAGAATTAAAGCAATTAGCATTTTGTTCCCAACTGGAAGTTTCAGGGAATAAATATTCTTATAGAGATGCAAACCTATTGTTTCTACACAATTTTTGGTTCTACTTCACATCAAGGAAAGTCTATATTCTTTCACTTATATTTCAGTCAGTATAGAGATTATTTAGAACATTTTGATATACATAATAATAACATCTAGGAGATTTTTATTGTAGCACAATCATAACTTCAGAGCAGAAGCATCCAACTGATTAGAGAAGCATGTTTAATAGGTTTTGAAACATTCTTGTCAGTCTGAATGATTCAGATCTGTACTTCTTCATTTTTTCAGTTTTATGGTTTACTTGTTAGAGAAGTAGAAATTTTTCAGAGTGTAGCTTACATTCTTGTAACTATCCACAAGATTGTTGCACCTTTTTTTTTTTCAGTTAAAACTGAGTTTTGTCGGTGGAACCTGCAATGTAGTATAAGAATTTTTCTGTCTGCATTTTCCAATTTTTATGTTTTTTATTATCACATTTTACTGCTGGCTTTTAATTTTTCTTATTATTTATGCAAGTTTTCCAGTTATAATGAATCTTTTTTCTTTTTTTTTCATATTTTGATAACCATTATTTTCCTTGTTGCAACAAACAGAAATCCTGACTAGGACTTCAGGGTTTTCATTAGGAGCTGGTGGCAGGAAAAGTGCCATCTACTCATCAAACTTTTACTGGCTACTTTTGAAGTAGCAGTTATTCAGTCAGCTTTTCTTAGAAAATAAATAACTTCAGACAGGGTTTGTACAGGTTATCAAAATCCTGGAGAATCAGGGTTTTCATTAGGAGCTGGTGGCAGGAAAAGTGCCATCTACTCATCAAACTTTTACTGGCTACCTTTGAAGTAGCAGTTATTCAGTCAGCTTTTCTTAGAAAATAAATAACTTCAGACAGAGTTTGTACAGGTTATCAAAATCCTGGAGAATCAGGGTTTTTTATCCTGGAAACCTCTAACCTCATTGCTCCCATATCACCATTTTTACTTACAATAAAGCATATCATTAAGTTTTTATCAGTTTCACAAAAAACAATCTCTAGAAAATACAACTTGTAAAATAAGAAATACACTGACTAGGCAACACTGATCAATAACAGGCTTTGAACTATGTACTTCTGTCTGCAGACAATGTGTGTTGTGATTATTGTTGAAGTGATATTGTTAGTACAAAATAAAACAAAACTGAAGACTCGTTTGGCAGAAATTTAAAATCATAAAATTGTTAATACGATAAATAACATAGACATTTCATAATTTTTGTAATTCCATCTTCAGTATAAACACTTTGAAAATGATTTATACTTACAAACATTCATAAATATAGAAGATTATAAAACTTGAATCGTTGTGTTTGGGTAATTGAATTTATTAACTGAATGTACACATTGTCAGTCTATTGGATTGACTCTGTATTGGAGAAGAAAGTATGATACCAAATTTACTATATATATGTACATGAAATGTGGAAAGCTTTTAGTAAAATGTACAAGTCTGTTGTCCACAAAATCAGGTGTGTTACGAAAGTATTTGTACTCAAGATACGTCTGTGAATTGCCAATATCAGTCTGACTCAGACAAATCAGAGTGCAAGGTGATGCTCTGTGAGGAATAAACTTAGATCTTTCTGTTCATTGTACAGTTTGCATTCTACATTTGCATAACTTCTGAAGTGCATACCCACAGCATTTTTTCGGTATCCCTGTATATTTACTGTAGCATGAAGTGTTTCTTAGTCAGCAACGTGGGGTAAAATAAAATGAATAGTTATTAACTCTGGCATCATATACATAATACTATGTTGAATGGCACTTTGTAAAATGGCATGAAATGTTAATTTTCATCTCCACCTTTGCACATAAGGTTAAGTGGCATTCAATATTTAGATAATGACAGCAACTTACTGAAAATATGAAATGTTTTAGATTGGAAAATGTAATTTTTTCTCATGTTTAAAGCTTGTGTGTAAGGATGTTCTTTACTTATGGCACTTGTATGTTGAATTGATAGAGTATTCTATAGACTTCATTTCGTATTATTTTGTTCTTTTGTTTTATCAAGAATATTTATTAAGTACTTGAATGTTTTAAATTCTTTTGAAATATCATGAAATTTTACTTTTATTTTACTCTGTATTTTAGCCCTTAAAGTTGAAGCAGAAATACCATCAGTTTTTGTGGGCTGTTTCTCATCTGCTGAAACAAAAGATGATCTTGGAGATTTTGACCCACTTTCCCCTGAATTTGGAGAAAGTAATACAAACAGCCCCTACAGCGGTTCTGCTAGTGCCACACCTGCTCTTAGCTTGGGAATTGCAGGAGAACCATTAAGTTCTCAAAGCTCATCAACACAAAACTCTTGTCCATACACACCTCAGAACAGCTTTGTAGATGATTCTTTTGACTTAAATAATGCTATGATGAAGCATTCATCCTTTCTTCCTAGCTTCAATAGCCGAGACATGGTTGAAAAAATTGAAAAAAAACGAGGAAAACTGGCTGGATTTGACCGAGAATGTGAAGCGTCAGGAATGAGAGGCCTTTCTTTCACACCAAAAAATAGTTTTGCTGATTGCAGTTTAGATTTATATGAACCACCCAAGGTTTTAACAATTGAGTCTAATGAATTATTAGAGAAAGTGCGGGAGAAGAAGGCTTCACTAGGTACTCATCAACAATATCCTGATGAATTTCAGCAAGATAAAAACTTATTGAATGTGGAAGAAAAAGTCAGCCATCTTTTTTTGGAGTTAAATACTGCAAACAGGAGTGAAGATTCTTCAGATGTATCAGTTGGCGAAATTTCATTTGATACTAGTAAATCATGTTCTCCTGGAGAAGTCAGTAATGGCTCAGAAGTGCAACCACCTGAGAACATACACGAATGAAACAAGCTTTGTTCTGAACAGACACTGAAGTAAGTGTCTATTTAAGCATTGATGCTTAAAATAGTGATGTTTGGCAGAAAATTATAGTATTTGCTAACCATCTTTGAAAAAAAAAAGATGTTTTATGCTTCACCATCTTAAAGAAGAAATAAATAAGCTACAGCTTAACATTCATTCATATTTCTGAAATTGAATTGATGAAGTAAGTTTCAAAGTGCTGTTGATAAGTTCTCCCTTTTACCGGTGATTTTAAAGAATAGGGAAGACCATCCTTTAAAAGTAATTGAGCTAAGAGTTAATGAAAAGTTATCAAAGTTTCTTTGTGCTTTTTTTGTTAGTCAATAATTAATGACATAAGATAACTTACTGTTATTGTTGTTTGTTTTTTACTTAATATTAAAATGCATCAAGCATGACATACAATGCTAATATGCTAAGTAAGGTTTTTAGCTCAATGTGGCATAAGACGTTCTGCCCTATACTGCTGCATCTTGTTAGCTTGAACTTTAGATACAACATATACACATGTGTATAAATACATGTTTGTATTGAATATATATGTTTAACAACAATCACATTAAGTAATTTTTTGAATTTTCTTCTTTACTAAAATGTTCAACTTTTTAAATTCTAGACATGTAGTAGTTATGAACCTGTTTGATATTTGTTGAGATGACAAATACGTGATGGAATAGACGAAAAAATATAAGTGCAGTTTCTTGTGAACAAGTGAAAATAAATTTCACTTAAAGTACCTATGTGTATGTTTTGAGTTAAGGTTATTCCATTATTGGAATTTTATTTCATCTTTAGATTTTAAAACTGGTAGTGAGCATCTTTTTGGTTATGTAACATTAAATTAACCAAAGTAGTGCATAGGAAAGTTTGCTGCTACCAAATAACATTTTTATTAAACATTATTAGACTTATAAGTATGCTACAGGATTAGATTAACTTAGTTTTTGTTAGTTCAGTATGATTTATTGTTTATGGTTTTTATTATTATTTTAATTTTCTCAATATCAAGTATTTAAACCTGCATATTAATGATTTCCCTTGAGTCAGGCCACAGAGACATTGTATTCATGCTAGAGATAACGTTATGACTCATTTGTTATTTTTGTATTCATGCTAGAGGTAATGTTATGACTCATTTGTTATCTTTGTATTCATGCTAGAGGTAAAGTTATGACTCATTTGTTATCTTTGTATTCGTGCTAGAGGTAAAGTTATAACTCATTTGTTATTTTTGTATTCATGCTAGAGGTAAAGTTATGACTCCTTTATTATATTTGTATTCATGCTAGAGGTAAAGTTATGACTCATTTGTTATCTTTGTATTCATGCTAGAGGTAAAGTTATGACTCCTTTGTTATCTTTGTATTCATGCTAGAGGTATATTATGACTCCTTTGTTATCTTTGTATAAGAGCATGCGATTGGTTTAATTTAGCCACATTTTAAACTACACTGGTATTGTTGTTTTTTACAGTGTGACTTTTAATGTTACTTGCAGATATACTATCATTTATAGAAAAAAAAAATGCAGTTATTGGACTTCCCCTCCACCAAACTTAATATAGTATTATTCTGAAAGATCATTCATATCACTTTGTTTTAACATCGTGATTATATTATCTATTACTTGCAGATGTGTGTGTGTATGTGTGTATACCACTGCTTAATTTATTTTGGATTTCTTCAGATCTGAGGTCTGGAACTAATTTGTTTCTTTTTGTTATCTAAAGGTAGAAATATTATAATTGTGTTGAAGACTGCCTTGGTGGTTCTGTTGTAAATTGATATTTGACTTATACAGTCAATCACAGCTCCAACTAAAACAGTAGCCTCAGTAATATTTAAGTTATTATCCTTCTTTTTTTTCTAGAAATTAAGCACTGGTGTTTATGACTGTATTTATGTATGATATTGTGAAAAGTAACCATTATAAACACACATCTATATTGATGTCTGTATAGAAGTCTCAGAGTCGTAACGTAACTTCTTGAACATACATTAGTCTTAATAATTTTTATATAGAGGTAGATTATACTTAGCATCTCGTGCTCTTATGCTGTACAGTATGTATGTAAACCTAAGTGGCCTAAGTTTATATTACAGTTTTAAAAGTACTTAGTAGAACTGTATTTTTTGTAAGGATAACTTGTATTTGAACACTGTACTAAATACCTATTCATTTTAGAACGTCAGCATTATCAAACACTACATGCATCAGTGAGCAATGTGTATGATTCAGTTAGAATCACCATTGTACCAAAATAACCATTTAAGTTGAAAATGTGAACCACACTCTAACCAGTGATATTTTCAAAGTAAAGTAATTAATTATAATTAAAACTTCTATTTTGATAAAGGCAAACAAAAATCACTATAATAGTATCCTTACCAACACAGTGTTTTATTTTTGGTTGAATTGAGATACCAACCTTCATACGAACTCAGCCACAATATGTATTTAGTTGTTGTGTTTAAACTACAATCACTGATTTAGTCTTCCTATAACTTTGTTCTATTCAAGCCAGAAACTTATTCTAGTCTTTGAAGTTACAGTATACTTTTTATGGGTACATTATTCTGTGTAAACAGAATTTCAATTTCAATCCCATTACCATGACAGTGTATTATCAAGCCAACGTTGTCACTTGTGTACCATTATGCAGACATCCTTTTTTTTTGTCATTTAATTTTACTGATGTCTGTTAAAGCTAGACTATCATTAATAGAAAAGACTTGCTTGATTTGAATGATAATTATCTACTTGTCTACTGCAATAGAAAATCCAGTTATTAAAACATCTTGTAACAAGAGACCACTTGCAGTAATAGATTGTGTGTGAAGTTAAGTTATACGCCTGAATAAGCTAGTTAATAAAACAAAATAAAAAGAAAGAATTAAGTAGATGGAGAGGTAATTTTGAGGAGATGCAGTGACGATAAACACCACGTAAAATATAGTGAGACAAAAAAAAAACATTGTAGCTACATGTGTCGTCTTCATAGAAACTCACTGAATGTACACTTTTTGTTTCAATCTTGAAACACTTTAATGTTGGGTTAATTTAGTGAATCCCCAGTAGCTATTTTATGTGTGTTTATGTTTTTTTTTTTTGTGTGTTTATTAAAAAACTTTATTGGGATTACAGAGTAATTTTAGTATTTAACCCCTTTATGTGTTTATGTGTATCTTGACAGTGGGTTATTAACACCTTAATATTTATAATCAGTGTGCTAGGTCATCCACTGTACTTCCTCAGCATCTTTTGTGTTTATTCTAAGATAAATATTTGTCTCCTTACTAAGTGTTTCTTTCAAATAAAAACAGTTTATATTAGTTTCATTATTAAATAATTGGGTTAGGGTGGAGAACTACATGTAGGATTTAATTACTATTTTAGTGTGTCCAAGGCAGCTATATCACATTAATATTATGATTTCAGCATTGAGTCTTGCTGTAAATTTTGTCAACTTTTCCTTTAACTGTTTTAGTTTAAATATGTGCAGCATTACTATAATAAACGTGCCAGAATAATGTAAGCAATGAGCATTAAAAAAGAAAAAAAATATATATATACATATATATAAAAATCCATGTTCTTTCTGATCCTGTCTTTATCTTCATCTAGAGTTTGCTAAATACATTGATGTGCATATTAATGTAACTAAATTTCATGTGAAGATAGCTAGTAGTAACACAAATGTGTTTAGGTAATGAGCTAATTTCGTAAGTTGTTGTCAAATTTAGTAAGCATATACACTTTCAAGTATTCTTATTAGATTTATAAAGTCGATTGGATTTCTAAGAAAGGCACGTAACAAGACCTCAAATACTTGTATGTAATCAGGACACATCTGTAAAGCACCTTTAAATTGTCTGTATGGCACAATTATTTGTGTTTTAACCATAACAAGTAAAAAAAAATACAGTTCTATCAGTAGGTATGTGTTATATCCATAAATAAAAAAAAAAGTAATAACAATTATATGATCTGGTAAAACAGTAAAAAAAATGATCTGAAAACAAAAAATTGTTATTAACATTTAGACTAAGTTGCGTCTTCTGGAACCTAAGACAGAGAAGAAATGTGGGATTATTACATGTATAAAAGATGGAGAGCAACACAAACAAATTAATATGAAGATGCACTTAAAAGTGTTAATATGAAAGGTTACATATATTTCCTGGATGACTATGAATCAACAGGACATGATAGGAAAGGAATCTGTGGATTGTCCAGAGATCATCTGCACGTGAGAGTCATCCACAGGACATGATAGGAAAGGAATCTGTGGGTTGTCCAGAGATCATCTGCACATGGAGAGTCATCCACAGGACATGATAGGAAAGGAATCTGTGGATTGTCCAGAGATCATCTGCATGTGGAGAGTCAAGAGTGTTGTGTGTAGACCAAAGACAAAAGTAACAAAGCAAGCAACTCCTAATGGTACTTCTGCATCATAATAGTATTACTACAATGAAACATGACTATACTATACTGTACGTGCCATAGTTCACATCCAAGCACTGTCTATGAAACTAGCATCGTGTAATTGGGTAAATTGTAAATGTTGAGTCCTGCACATAAAAAAAAAAACTGTTTATATCAAGTTTGTGTGTTGAATCCTTTTACTACATTACATTTTATTGTTCAGTTTTATATCAAACATTTTACAGTATGTAGGTCATCATTCTTAAAAGTTAACTATATCGTATATTAGAACTTATTTAAATTGTTCTCTTTTGAAAAAAAAACAATGATTAGATTTTATCATTCGACTTATTTTAAGCTGCAACTTTTATATTTATCTTTCTGATTTGTGAAGTGGTGAAAGTATTTTGGCCTAATAATTTAAGAATTAACATTTGTTAATGCTGCTGCATTGTACCATTTTTCTCACTACGGTTTATTACTCTTTATGACAAAATACTAAATTTTATATGTTTAGATTATTTTAATGATCCTTAATACACGAGGCAAATTTTTATCATAAGAATTTCATGCCATCACTAATGTTTGAAAAATACAAAAGTTTTAAGATTGTTGTAATATAAGAGTATAATGAAAGAGTAACAAATAAGAATGTTCAGTACGTGTTTGGAGTCAAAAGTTTTATTTTTATATATATATGTATAGAAATTTACATATAAATTAAAGTTTTTTGGATTATTAGAAACCTGGAAGTTGTCAAAAGTTTATAGTAATTTACAGTATAAAGGTTTGGCTTGAGCGATGTTAAAGTAGGATGAGTAATTAACCCGAATATCCAATAGTTGTCTTTGATATAAAGTGTTACAGATATAAGGTTAGTCTGTTTAACATCTTTTAACTAGTATTATTGTGTTGATCTTGAATTACTGTAGAATACATGTAACAAGAACTTCATGAATATGTAGTTAAATAAAGAATTTTTGTTTTTTTCACCAGTTTTTGAATGGTTTAACCTTTATTAGGCTCTTGCACTGTTGAACAGGATTTTTTCTGAATTAACAAATAACTGAAGAATCTAATGAGAAAGGAAAATTTTATAACTTGTGGATATTCAGAGAAAATATATATATACAATGAATCACTAAAGTCTTTTTCAGGCTGAGTATTTTGATATCATAGGAACCACACAGAATCTTGAAATCATTCTTGGTTGGCTCACAATTACTGATATTAAAATACCGAAAACTGTGAGATGGATTTGCTATGAAATGTTTTTTAATACATATGGTAGCACGTTCTTAGTCTGATGAGACCATTCACCATGGGCAGGTGTATATATTAAAAAAAGGAGCATTGAAGCTTGGGAATTATTTTGTGAGAAGGGAAAATAATTTAATTTTTGTGTTTCAAAGACAAAAATGAATAATATTATAAAATGTGTCACATTTGTTCAACTAAAGATTTCTTAACTGAAAGGGCTTGGGATTTGTTTGAATGATTCTGATTGGTGTTATTTTAAGACAAATGGAAAACAGTTTTTTGAAGAAATAACTTAATGTTTTTAATTACATAATTAAAGGTCAGAGTAACTAATTAGTGTTCAAGTTTTATACATTAAAATATGAATAAGTTTCATAAAATTGATAGGTGTACGTACTGTCCAGTGAACAAAGATTTATTATAGCCAAATAAGGCAAATGAATAATTTATGGTACAAACCACTTGATTGGATTATTACTTCCGAAGTTCACTTCTACAAATTAAAGTAGGTTACTTCACTCAAAATAATTAAGTGTTTACTGTCGTTTTACTCGGCAATGTAACTTCTTTACTTAAAAAAATTATTTCTCGGCACCTGATGAAAAAAAACTGGAAAAATTAAAGGTTTTGAATGATGAAATTATAACTGTAGTATTGTATCTTCAGCTAAGTAAGTATCGCAAGCCATAATGGCGACCTTGAATACAAACAAGGTACTTCACATATTAATAAATAAAACTAAACATGGGAAATTAACTTTGCCGAAAGAAATAACTGGAGAAAGCACAGCAAAATAAACTATTCACTGTAATACTCAAACATAAGTACATGTGAAGAAATAGCTCTGTAACATAATACAAAAAATATAACTCCGTTTAATATAGTTTTTAATAAAAAAAAGTCTCAGATATACACAATGAATAATAAACAAGGCATCATACATACACATTAACAAAATATTGTTAATTAAATTTGTAGTACATCATCATTTCATTTACTATGGGAATATCCCAGTCAGTTTGATCTAAGCTTGCAAACCGAAAGAATAAGGTTTAACGAAACAGCAGAATTATGATTACCACTTCATGGTAG